AACCGTATTTTCGCCAACCTGTCCGGACGGAATAGTCTCAGGACTATCCTGAGCACGCCGCAGCTAGCCACCAAAGCTATCGAATATATGGAACAGACGCAGATCCTTGGGCAAGTGGGGATCAGAGATGAGTAGACGACGCCGAGCGCTGGGGGGAGACGGTAGGTACAGCGGACGCGACAGACGAGGCAGCGAGCCTCTACGAGCCTAGAAACATAGCATGCAATTAGTAGAACCGCTATCTAGATGGCCGGCCAAAGCATATAGATGGTGGTTGATGGAAGACGGCAGGTTGCTGGGGACAGATGGTCTCTCTCAAGGGATGAAGTGGGGCGGCGCGGATCAACGTCCGCACCGCGTCCGCTGTCTGCCACGCCTGTCACTCCGGGCATAGCTGCGCAGCACGCGGCTGAAACCGAGTAGGAGTCAATAAATAAATAAATAAATCAATCAACCTCCTACTAAAACCACCATGTGCTGCCGTAATGTGCGGTTGCCCAGCAAATATTAGTAAATATATATTAAATATATAATTATACTAGTACTCCAACAAAAGATTACGTGATAATAACGTTTTAGTGGTAGTTAAAAGCTAAATCTTTTGGCGGACACGCATTTTGGTGGGGTGTTGCATTGGGTGAACTGTTGCACGCACTGACCACACGCGGTACAGTACCGCGCAAGTCAATATAATCAACTCGTCATAGCTAGATGAAAAGTAGAGACACACCACATAGCTAGCCGACCGTTTTAGACAACGGACCGGGTACAGCAGTCACTGCTAACTTCCGTGCGTTAGGGGCAATAACTCTCCGCATTATTGGGTCCGGTGCAGGGTTAGCACTTATCTACGGCAGTAAGTTTTGCGGTCTTACTACCTTGCCCTCCAAGACATAATATAGCCCGTCACTGCGCGCTAAAAAACCCCATATTACGAAAACGACAAATCGGATCGCAAGGATCGCAGACTTCTCTACGTTCTTTCTTAAGGGGTTATACTACAAATTAGCGTAGAAGCTAGAGCCAGAGATGCTACGTAGCCTAGTCACTTTGTAGCAGCAACTACCCTGTCGTCGAGACATATAACCTAAGACTAGTTAAGAGACTAACAGTGCTATCGGCACGATTGTATCCTATTTGTTAACCTATTGGCCGTTTAGAAGTTCGAGAGCCGCGTAAGCTACTACATCCCTAGACGCCTATCGCTAGACTATCTAGACATTAAGTTAGAAATGTATCGCAGACGCACCTATATGTGTCCAAAACGAGATGGTCGCCCGCTACTGTAATACGGCTGTACGTATTCCATAACCTACAAACCTATCCCTATAGCCTAAGTACTCAGTTATGATAAGCTAGTAGCCTTTAGAATTATAGCGATCACAGTAGTTGCACGCTAAAGAACCTAGCGGTTTACACGCCTCACCCTTAGTCCAAAATATAACCAGGGTAGTCTCAACAAGCTAAGCATATACTGGCCGTATTACGCCCGCACTGTGCGCACCAGCCCTGCTCATACGTCCTCACATACGCCCGTCCCTGCGTGGTAGAACGACTGTTTAATTCGCAAGGGTTATAGAGAAGTCCGCAATCCTTGCGATTCTGGGAGTTTTTCTTAAGGGTTTTTCTTAGATAACAAGTTTTTCCAGCACGTAGGGACAGGCTGCTGAGATTTGTCGCTAACGCTAGCTAGATCTTTACTAGTGCGAAATATATTACAGTATTCAATTCTTTTAGGCATAGATACGTGTGAAGGGGGGCTGCGCTTCGATCAAATATATTACTAGATTTATCATCTATTGACATCATCTTTTCTTATGCGGGCCAAGGCTTTTCTAGGCTTTAGAAGCCGCCACTGCTGTAGCACGTTTAGGCCGCGGCGTGGGTACATCTTCACGCTCAACAAGTGCGTTCTAAGCGTTAACTTGTGCGAATCTCTCAGCATAGAAAGCTTCCATGTCTCCAAAGTGATAGTTCTAAGCCATGGTTGGTGTACAAGAAGCGAAGAGTCCTTGCGTGGCGAGAGCCATATTCCGCGCCTCTGCTAGTTCTATGGGATTCTCCTCTTGCCCAACTAGGTAAAGTTTGCGACGTCTTTTCAAGCATTGTTGACCGCTCTATATTGAACCTTTCTTCTAGAGTTCAAGTGAATGTTTGACGAGGAGAGGCGCGATAGTGAGACTAAGTTCGTGAAGAAGGATTGAATTAGAGCTACGTGCTTGAGCGTTGTCTTCAACACCGTTTGGTGTTGATAGTAGCTTGACTTCACTCTATGCCTTAATTTTCGTCGTAGGTTCTTCTGCGAGTACGACTTTACCGTTAGCTGCCGGAGTTCTCCAATCGTACTCTGTAGGGTCGTCGCAGATATGGATATTAGTGTCTGGATCTAACGTCTATAGATGGGTGAGCTGATATTGTTGAGACGCTTTCCGGTCGTTGAACGCGGAAGGGAAGACGGCATATACTTCGTGCGGGGGATGACCAGCTAGTGGGTCTCCCGCGTTAATTTCTATCGAATCGGAGTCTCACGCTTTACTGTGCTTGCCGCAGTCTCTGGTCTTACTCTAGGATGGCCCGGAGGTTGTGAATACCTGGTTCCCGAAGGGATCCTTACTAGCGCATGATGTGATTGGCATGTCCCGCGTTGACCATTACCTTTTGTCGTGGACACCGGTTGGCTACCAACCCTTCAAACCTCTCTAGGGAGAGAAACCTTCCTGTTACTCGTCCCACTGCGCCGAGGCTAGTCTGATGCAGTGGGACGAGTACTTGTAACACCAAGTCCTAGATAACGTCTGATTAGAAAAGAACTCTAATGGAAACAAGAGACATATGAGCTTAGAGGTACTTCTTGATTTGATTGGTACTATTACCTAGTAGTTACAGTGTCCGTGCATCAAAGACCTTGTCCTGCTAGTTACGGCCCGACTCTGCGCCGCGGCATCAGCAATGCCACTCACTAAGTCTATCCTGAAGCAACAGTCCGGTTCAGATGGCTTGTTTCATGGATTCGCAAACACTATCTCACATGAAGATCAACAATGAAAAATTACGTGCATGTGCTGTGAGTACATTATACCTAAGCTCTTCATATCTTCCTTCTATTTGGGCAGTAGAGACGATCAACCGTTTCCTTTAGTATGAGCAAACCCTTTACCTTTGTTGTTGATCAGACAGCTCGTGCTTCTCTTGGATCTAAACGAAAGCTTAGACGCCGTCGAGGAGCATGTGTGAGTTGCAAACACAGAAAAGTGGCATGTGAGTATTTAGGATTCATAGACCCAGTTTTAGCAGTAATTAAGCAATATAGGTGACGGATCAACGCCTTGCCAACGTTGTCTAGTAAGATCGATTAGCTGTATATACAATCAATAATATTTACCAAGTATATTAATAAGAATTTCAGAAAACCTCTACAGACTGCCAGTATACCGAAAGCAACCGTTCGATCCAAAGTACGATTCCAAATGACGAGGCACACAATACAAGGCAGCAGACAAAGACAACCTCAAACGCAGACACTTTACCTAGCTCGCAAGATCTTAGACTCGTAGACTTCTTTCCTGACAATTTCTCCGATAATTTGGCCCGTGTACCTGTATCGGACGATCCTATGGCTCCTTCTGCCTGGAACCAATGGAGCGACGACCCTTTGGCTCTTTTTAACTGGAGCCAATGGGGCGACACTGTCGACGAACCCACTCCTGCGCCTTTCCCGAGCTTTGAGCTGCTAGGGAGTACCAAAGGGCACGAGGATACCCGCTGCAAGGGCTTAGACACAGATCAGCGTTTTCATGATGATACGCACTACTGTTGCAATGCAAACAATCTTTCAGGAGACTATGTTATGTCAGCCTCTGCTACTGTTACTGGTATGGACAAGTGCTAGGTTATACTCACCCTGAACTTACAACTTTGACTAAATTGTAATAGAGAAAACACCATATTTCGATCATATTCGCTCGAATGTCTACTGTTGGGTACTGAAAAGCATAAGAAAGTCTCATGAGAATGAAAACACTCGCATTATAGCAGCATTGCAAGGGCTTCTGACACCGTACTCTCTAATAACCAACAAATGTTCTTCCCAAGAATTGGACATAATATCTGTTCTTATCGATCTACGTTCTCAGCGTTCTTTTAACAAAGAGCTTTTCTACAAGCGCATTGAAGGTAACATAATATCTAATCCCTACAAAATAGCATGACTTGCTAACATCGATGCATGAAGCCTGCTTTGCAGAACTGCATGGGTATGTGGTAGTTCAAAACAAGTCAAGCCTTTTTTTTGAAAATCGTTAGTATCCTAGCCTTCTAACAAACAGATTAGCAGTATTGGAATCTTCCTAGACTTGGCAACCGTGTATGCATTAGTCGACCAGGTTCTTCTACACCCTTTAGTCAGCAATCCGACCTGCATTGCTTTATTTTTCTCAGTACTGGCTATTGGCTCCCGACGTCTGGATCTGAGTCATAGTACGGGTACAATAAATGGAGCAACTATAGGCTTCTTTAGGATAGCTCTGCGCATGAAACCTCATCCATGCAATGAGACTAATCTCTTGAGATTACAGGTATGGAGGACACTACGTCAATGCCAACTCTTAAAATTTTGCTAACAAAAACCTGTGGGCTGACAGACGCTACTTTCCCTGGTTAGTATATTCCCTCCATCTCTTGGTTGATGTAAAGCCTACCCTTACAATTAACGATATATATCAGACTTACTTCTCATATGCCATTGGTGCCAATTCCACGTCTAGCTTGATGGCTGAAGCTACTTCAGGCCTCCAGACCCTTCGCCTACATAGCTGTAACGCGATCGACAAGTTGTCTTCTGATCGCTTGGAACAAGCAAGAATTAAGAGGGCTTTCTGGGCTATCTACTCGATGGAAAAGCCATACTGCCTACAAGAAGGACTGTTACCAGTAAGTAGTACATCACAGGAAAAAGAATGTTATAGAATCATCTTCAAGACGAATGATCTGCTCCTAGGAACCATCGCTAATTCAAAGCTCTTTAGTTAATACACAGTGAATATGCGGACCACAATTTTTCTGCATCGCAGGGTTCTCCTTGTAAAGGGGACGACTGGCTTAACGTAAATATTCGTTACGCAGAGGTTTGTTCAGCAATTCTACGACAAGTCCACACCCAACGGCAAAGTAGGCAAAATTACTCATGCTGCTGTAGAAGAGCAGATTGCGAACACAACTCAGCCTCTACCGTAAGTAGGCTCGAGGCGACACTCACGACGTGGAAAAACGACTTTTTCTTCGATTTTAGACTTGACAACTTGTCAGCGCTTCCATGCGATGAGAGGCGCCGCAGGCTGACCTATATCAACAAATATCATTTTGCTGTCATTGCCATACATTCATTACCAGAAACAGAAAACACAGACATGAGTAAAGGAATCCGTTACAAATCAGCGCGCGAAATATTGAACATGAGCGCACACTTATCCTGGGCCGATCTTTGTGATAACTGGTTAGTATCTGTCTCTTTGTATTTGGCTTTCGCACATCTTAAGATTATCAACTAATAACTAGTGGAACATTATATTATAGGTCACTTTGCTACGTTGTATCTTTAGCGACTTGTATTGTCGCTGCAAGAATAATCGAAAAAGTCTGCGTCGTAGAGGCACAGAGAGATATAGCAACGACCACCGGCATTAGAAGCAACGAGCATTCTTACGAGAGCGGTATTGAAACAGACATATCATACATAGGTATAGCAATTGGCTTCTTTAGTCGAGTATCCCTAAGTACAACTCCTGGTTTCGGAGCTGCGGCCATGAAGCTGTGTAGCTTTGCCCTCGGCTTAGCAAAATCTTAGTGTATTATCATTTGTTAGAATAATTATATGAGTTCAGTCTAGGCTGGTGTTACATGGGGTTTGGTACTTATACTCAGACTCAGGAACAATCAATTTGATCGGCCGTTTGATTCGCGAACGCGCACCAAGGACTAAAAAGAATCAAAAAACACTAAAACAAAAACCACTAAAACGCCAAGATAGCTATCTACAGCAACAAGGACTCAGCTTAATATTAAACAAAGAACCATGAGAGAAAGCTACTCTTTTGGAAAACTAGATATCCGACTACAAAAGATAGTTGGTGTCGCACTCGTTGGTCCGTGAGGGAAATTGTGAAAAGAATTAATTCATCATTATCTGCATCTCTTCTGTTTACATAGAGATTATCGGTCAACCTACGGTCAATCGGTATGTGGTGTTGTTAACAAAGTTTATGCTTCCGGCAGCTGCGCAGCTTGCAACAGTTAGTTATCTCTTTACGCAAAAGACATATCACAATCAATTTAAAGATGCTATATAGTGTTTAGTGTAACTACATCATACTATCTAAAATCTCAAATGAACTCATTTAAGCAGCATAACATGACCATGTAACACTGTCACGTCTTGGATACCTGTGTTATCAATACGCATCGTTACACCAACCTGGAACAGCCGCCAGCCTCAAGGTGGTAGGTGATGGCGCAAAAGTTGAAGATTCATAGATTTTGCACACTAGAATGTCCATACTGAGTGACCAATGAGACTACTGGTAGTCTTAGCCTGTTGCTGGTGTTATTATCTAGCGATGGTTGTAAATTGCTTAACCACATTGGTTAGTTGTGACGGAGCTACTCCGACAAGTCCCCCAGCATGACCATACTGACTGAAAATTCATCCACAGAAAAACAAGAGACATAGAATCTATAACTCTTGAGAACCACGTTCTCCTAAATACACAGTATCTTCTAATACTCCAGGAATAATAGTTCATACCATGATGCTACAAGAAGAACTCCTCTACATATCTATCCTTATCTAGAGCAGCACGCCACTCCTGTAAACTTTTCGCTTCACTCTTTTGATACTGTTTATCAGTCTTCCAGAGTAGCGGCCCAAGGACGTCGTAGGTACTGTTGGCCATATTTTTACCTCCACAAACAAGAACGCGACCACCGGCCTTCCATATCTCTACAATATCGTTTTTCGAGTCTGCTAGCCGCTCATGGATGTATTTGCAACCCGCTGCTTCAGCTACTGCTGCTTCATGGTCCCTGCTGAATGCGCGGCGAACCTCGACAAGCCCATCTGCTTCGAATGCTGCAATCTCCTTGGCATAAAGGGAGTCGAGCGCTGGGCCGCGACAGCCATAAAACAATATTGTTTTCGGGAAGCTTTCACGCTTTCCGGCTTGTTCTAGTGACCTAGAAGAAGTTGCAGCAGTAATTTTACGGTCTTGTAAGAAGGCTAGGAAAGGAGCTATGCCCGTTCCAGCTGCCACCATAATGACTGGACGAGAGACGGGTTGGTCTTCGGAGAAATTGGGAGATGCTGGATGAAGTGAAATACAAATGCTATCGTTGGTCGTGAGCGTTGAGAGATAAGTCGATGCCAGCCCCCCGCGTTTGAAGGGGATGCGATCTTCAGTGAAACCGCCATTCGGATCTTGAGAGGGATCATTGGACTCCATAGGTTGGGATGTCAGCAGAGATTTCGCCGAACCGACAACTGTATATGTCAAGGTTGCAAACCCTGGTTTCCAGTCGGGACTGGAAGAAAAGGAATAGGTCCTTGGACGAATCGGTGTCAACAGTGACAAGAAGCTTGCGAGGGATATCTTGACGTCTGGGAATATGCGGAGCAGATCAAGTACTGATAGTCTCTTGTTCAAGACTTCCGATTTGTACTTTTCAGGCTCAAGGAGCTCAAACAGATTAACCTTTAATTGAGGCTTATCAGTCATCACCAGGGTAGCAAGAACCTGTATGTTCCTGAGACTAGCTGTACGACCAAGGTCGACGTATGCACTGAACAATTCCAATGCTTTGATTGGAGTATCAAGTGGAAGTCCCAACCCTATGTTTCTCTTTATGCTCTGAATGTTGACTAGGGTTTCAGTGTCAAGATCGAAAAGGCCAAGAGCGCTTCGCGTATCATCGACAGAGTTGCGGGGTAGAATCTGCACATGATCTCCAGTCTTGTATTTGAACCCTACAGGTAATCGGATCTCCAGATGGCGTTTCTCCGCTACGCCTGGAGTGGATAGTGTGCAAGCGTCGGTTACAATAGCAGCAGCAAACCCTTCACGCATGCCGATAATTGGAGGCTTTATCAGTGATACCTGGAGTTCGACATCCCTTGCGCCAGTCACGCAGTTTGCATCACCATCTCGAGGCGTTCGGCTATCGCTCAACTTGGGGAAAAGCTGGGTCGTTGTCCATTGTTCAAAGTCCGAGAATATGTCGGTAGATGCTCCCATGTCAGAAGTACCCATCGGTGCAACTCGCTCAGCTCCGCGCTCTGACAAGAGATAATCGACGAGTTTTGGGACGGCAAAGAAACTGCTAGTCCAGTCACGATGTCCTAAAAAGAGGTTCTCAGCAGGGTTACTACACGAACGTCGAGGTTTGGGAATAATTTGCTTGGTTAGTACGACCAAGAAAGGTTAATCATAGTAGTAAACGAAAAGCGACTGAAATGTGAACGAATGCAACGCAATATTCAAAATTACACATACCACATCCGAAAACGGCATATCTCACACCTTCGAGCTCATTTTCTTGTGCGGCTTTGAGCCAGTTTACAAAATTCACAGCATCTCTCGCAGGCTCGCCGTTGTAAGACGCTGTGATAGCAACCACAACCACATCTTTAGGAAGTTTTCCTATAACGTTATTCGCTGTATCAATGAGTTTTATACCTAAACCTCGTTCTGTAGCATCATTTGCGAGAACGCCGGCTAAAGCCTCGGATGTTCCGGAGTTGGAGGCATGAACAATCGCTAAATGTACTTCCTCATTATCGCTCGGACCTGTAGTAGGCTTACTTGATATTGGTCTGAAAGATTGAGTGAATGAGACTGTTTCTGCACCTTGGTGCATTCGCAGATTCATCTCAGTAGGGCGTATGCCATTTCGCGGGCGGACCTTCATTGTAAGGCCGACCGGACGGACCGTCATTGTTACCTGTATTTTAAGATTGTAGGTTTCATCTTTAATCAAATCGAAGTTTTGGAGCACCATCGCAACAGCCTGTGTTTAGCCAATAGTGTTAGTTTAGTAGTTTTGTAGTGTGAGACGGCCGAAATAAACCTTTACTACTTACTATCAATGCCTGCTGCATCGCAAACGGTCTCCCAATACACGCGCGCATTCCGTTTCCAAACGGCTTCCATGCGCACGGAGGTAGTTTGTCAAATTTATCTTGCTTCATACGCTCAGGCCGGAATTCGTCTGCATCATCGCCATACACCTCGGGATCGCGGTGTACCGAGTCAAAGACAATGAATATGGATTGATCCTTTGGGACTAGGTACTTTCCAGCTATTACTTCGTCTTGAAGCGGCTTAACAAAGAACCCGGGGCCAGGGTCTCGTAGACGAAGCGTCTCGCGTAAGATACTCTCAAGATACGGTAGTTTTTGTAGGTGTTCAGGCATCACGGTACTGCTCCCAATGACGGCATCCACTTCGTCTCTGGCTTTCTGGAGAACATCTGAATGTTGGAGAAGGTAATAGAAACAAAAGGATAGTAGACTAGAAGTCGTTTCGTGGCCTGCGATGAAAAAGGTGAGCAGGTTGTCCACAACCGATTCATCGTCCAGACGTTCGCCAGTGATAGGATCCTCGTGGCTCAGCATTGCATTCAAAAGATCATTCCGATCGACTGGATTCTTGCGTCTCGTCTCGATGAGCTTATTAATGTCGTGGCGTAACTGGTCAGCTTGGCGGTTGAATTTGTTCATAGAACGGAACCGGACCCAGTTGTTGATCCAGTCAGGTAGGTTACTTTGCAGCAGAGATTCTGTCATGGTGTCTACAACGGCTTCTGCGAAAGGATCCTCAACTCCTGCAGGCCTATAGAAGCTATTGAAGCGATAGTCAACAGTGCAGAGGGCAATCGTGTCCAAAGTCAACTTCGTCATCTCGTCACAGATCTCGATGGGTACGTCCTGTCCAAAACGGGCCCAGCGTAGACACATCTGCTCACAAATATCTCTCATATCATCCATCATAGCTCTTATCCTCGCGGCACCAAAGAGTGGCGCGATGACACGGTGCGCTTTTAGGTATCTGGGATCTGCAGTTTCCGCAGTGAAAAGACCATGTCCGACCACTCGCCTCATCCTGTCAATTGCGCCGCCTGGTAATTTGCAGAATCGCGTTTCATCACAGAGCTCTTCAGCAACTCTGCGACTAACAACTATGACATCTCTGTACGAACCATAGTTAATCATGTACACATCGCCTGTCAAGAGTTAGGGATTGTCGTCGCCCATTTGATATGGATGAATAAAGTGCCACTTGCCGTATGTTTTACCCATTTCACCTAATGACTTTGTGAAGTTGTCAGGATCAATGTCGAGTATGTTCCCTAAAAATGGAATCGCTGTATTCTACTGTTATTACATGCAAAGTTTTGTAAAGCTACAAGCGAGAACAACTTACGTTTCGGGCCAGGTATTGGAGCGAGGTCTCTGGGGCATTTGCCAGCCATTATGTCGCCAATAGTTTGCTTTTTTTGGTTAACAAACTGCTTCAACACTTTCCGTCCAGAGGTGTATTTGGTAATGAGAGCTACTGGATTAAGGTGAGTTCCAGTCCCAATATATAGCAATACAAGTCCCAAAAGGCTCTAATTTCAACAGAGGACTAAGATGTAGTAACAAATGTAAAAGACCATGATAGGCCCATGACAACTGGACCCAGAATGAAAGCCCGAATACACAGAAGTGGGGAGTGGTCTGTGGGCCTGTGCGGATGTACGTATGCGGTATGGCGACAGATTTCACGTCTACCGGTTACCCTCTAAGGAAACAGTACAGCTATACTTAACAGAATTCGAGGAAAAGGCTGTCTCCCATTAGAGTGATACAACAGCTAATTCCTTGTAAGGGCTGCTGATCAGCGTTTGTTTTCAATGGTATTTTTGTACAGTAGACGTGGTAAGATACATGCAGTGATTTTGCTGCCTGGTCATGTGCTAAACGAGTTGCTCACTAAGCAATCTAATCAGTCCTCTCCTTCTCGCTTCACGCCCTCGTCTTGCCTTGCGCTCAGACCTGGAATTTGGTAGTTACCGTCGGAGAAGCGCTGGATGGGCGAATGGTTTGAAGAAATCTGAAATACTTTGTAAATTGTGAAAGTTTCCCGTTGTTCATGTGTGAGACGGTATCCCGATTCAGTATCCGGCCTCTAGTACGTATTCGTTGGATGAGAGCCGCCGAGGTCCCAACTCTTCCGATAGTTCCTCACCCGAAATGTACTTCCATGTCCTTTTGGAGGGCTCCGTGTCATGACCAGCACATTATCGCAAACAGCATTCAGCTACCGATTCGCAGACGCAATTTACACACGACAACACGTTACCAAAACAATGTTGATGCATCGCAAATCATTTGCCCGGTTATGAAAGCGTGATTTTGATTGTACCAGTACTACAAGTATATGGACTGTGATAAGTGTCCGCCAGCCTCTGCACAAGTAGAAAAGACAGCCAGATAGTGACCAATCAACTCTCAACGTAGCCTCTTGCATGCATTCAATTCTGGGATTTAATTTTCCTTTCTAAAGACAATAAATGAATACAAATCACTTGATACATTTCGCTCTAATTGGAATACTGTACGTGTACGAAAAAACAGTTCCAGGACCACCCTTCCATAGTACAGCCCTGTCTTTGAAAAAGGAAATATGAAGTTGTGAAGAGTTCAAGTTATGTTGGCTATAGAACTCCCCATAAGCATGAAGCTTGATGGATTGACTCGACATGTCGTGTAGCATCAGAACCTAGGTTTGAGTCTATGGGGCCTTCATATCTAGGTATGCATCGCCTTTTTGATCCACACCTACCTTCCCCAATCGTGTCTTCAGTGCGTCTATTGTCAGTCTACCCAAGCCGTCGATAGTACGAGCGTCGAGGATCTCTAAGGTACTGAACTCTAGACCACCAAAACTGCGCTTGATCCAGTTACGCAGCTCTATGGTGACCAAAGAGTCCACGCCCAAGGATGTCAGCGACGCAGTCAAGTCCATATCCTCGAGCGGATGAAGCATAAAGGTATAAACACGGGTGCCGATGATGCGTGTCACAAAGTCTAGCGAACCCTGTTCGTCAAGAAGACCCGGTTCAGCGTCAATTGAGCCCATGAAGAGACGAAGGGCGTCAGTTTCGTTGTCCTCAGGACCACCAGCGGTAATGTTTGACGCGTTGTGATTGTGATATAGGCCCATGCGAGAGTCCTTTTTCCAGATGACACGGTTAGCAGGGTCCAGCAATGGCTTCTCGCATCGCAAGCCAATGGTGAGCTGATGGTTCAAGTGATCTGGCTTGCCCGCACTCGGAGTCAGAGCCCAGTTGATTCCTTCCAGCAATTGGCGGGTACGCAGAAAGAATCCACCAGCGGCCCTAAGTGCTTCAGCCCTTGTCGGATTTTGAGCGAGATAACCAATGTCCTCCATCAGACCAACATGAAGTACTGAAGCGGGCAGACCGAGTGCTTGACGATGCTGAGTGAATGCAGTAAGATATGTGTTACCGGCAGCATAATTTGCTTGGCCAGGCATACCGAATGAGCCGCTGATAGATCCAGTGACGAATAAAAAATCGAGGTCTTGTGGTGCAGCGCGGTGAAGGTTCCATGTGCCCTCTACTTTGGCCTTGACCGTTGTTTGCCAGTCCTCCAGATCCATATCCGCAAAGGCCTTGTCGCAAAGTACCATGGACATTTGCAGAATACCCCGGATGGGCTTTCCTGGAAGCGCAGACGCCATTGCGCGCTCAACATCTGCTATATCTGTTACGTCGCCTTGGACAGCCTGTGCTGTGCAGCCTTGACATTGCAACTCCCAGAAAAAAGCTTGGTCGTTGGTACTTTGACCAGCAGAACGCGAAAGGAACATAAGGTGACGTGCCCCTCTTTCTACCATCCACGTTGCAACAGCGCGTCCCAAACCACCCAGTCCACCTACGAGCATGTAGGTAGCCGATGGATTAAGCCCAACGTACGGTGTCTGTAGTGTCTTCGGTAGGCCCATACCTTTCTCTGGAATTGACACCACAACCTTACCAAGGTGCGTACCTTTCTGCATATACCGAAAACTCGCCTCGACCTCGGTCGCATCGAAGACTTTGATGGGCTCTATAGGTCTGATTGACCCTGTTGTGAGCATATCTACCGTTCGCTGTAGCAACCTGCGAGAAGAAGATGGCCAATCAGTATTCAATACATTCTAGCCAAGATATTGGGTAGAGGGAGAATGTACAACCTACCTTTGGCATCGAGTCGCATCAAATCGAGCCAGATCAATGCCGATGAAACTCCTATTTGCTTCAAAGAGATCCATATCCAGGCGGGCCTTCCCAATGAAGTCTCTTTTGCCAATCTCAAGCATCTTTCCATAGGGGGCAACGCATTGCCATGAAGCATGGAGTAGCTCACCAGAGAGACTGTTAAGCACAAGGTCAACTCCCCGACCCTTTGTAGCAACTCGCACATCATGCAGAAATGATGTGTCTCGAGAATTGAAAATCTGTTCCCGTTTAAGGCCGAAATTTTGCATCAAGTACTCAATTTTGACTTCGCTTCCGACCGTGGCGTATACCTATCAATCACTGAAGTTAGCTTTATGATCTCGAAGTACTATTGTTTGTTTGGATGTGACAAAGCCTCAAAGATCTTACCTCTAGGCCTTGGATATTCTGACATATGTTAAGAGCAGCAATGCCGATGCCGCCACATGCAGAATGAATCAAAATCGACATGCCGGACTTTAATCCACCCATATCAAGCAAAGAGTGGATCACAGTAGCATAAACGCACGGCATCGTCGCAGCCTGCTCAAATGGTAGCGAAGAAGGGATCTTGGCACATCGATCGGCCAATACAGTTAGTTCAGTTGAGAAGCATTTGTCTGCAAGGTAGAAAACGCGGTCTCCTGGCTGAAGCCCAGTGACACCGCTTCCGACCTTCGTGACTATGCCAGATCCTTCCAGGCCGATGCTGACATCGTTTGCCTCTACAATACCCATGCAGAGGAGTACATCCTACAGAGTATTAGCAACACAGAGAGTTCACAATATTTTCTAAAAATAAAGGTTTTTTGAGAGATGGGGTATGCGAGGGGAGAGACTTACCCTGAAATTCAAGCCCACACACCGAGGCTCGACGACGATCTCATTGTGTGCCGGATTTGGTGTTATAAGGTCGATCCACTTGAGTGACTGCAGTAGTCCTGGGCGCCCTATTTGAAGTGTCGCGGCTCCAGACTTTTGTGATTTGAGTGCCAAATCTTGAGATAGAGTGACGGGATGGTACCTGCCCACTTCGAGAGCTCCTTTGGTGAAGAAAAACTCCCGGTCTGGGTCCATGACTGAAGTTTCCTTCAAACCTCTAATGCTTTGCCCCCTTTCGTGTGCAAGTTTTTCCATAAGCTTAGTAGCAGCGGCAAAGCCTGCGTCGTCCATACGGTCCATTTCCAGCGTGGTAATGGCAACGGAACGCTCGTTGCGCAGTGTGCGTAGGAGTCCCAAGGATAGCCCAAAACTAGGGTTTCCGTCGCGACCGACATTCCTTTGTGCTGGTGGCATGATCCAGAGCATTGGCGTACTGCCTAGACTTGAGACGATTGCTTGTAAAGCTGTTAGATTGGCTTCCGATATGGACTCGAGGAACGGCTTCCTGATATCGAGCAATGATACCAACAACTCTTGATCATCTGATTTAATCTCCTGATGTTGCTCTATGCTCCTCAGGATTGTTCGGAAGCCCTTCTCTTCGATCGAAGAACGCAGCCGTACGACGCGCTCACAATCCTCATCGCATAGACGATACAACAAGGTCACTCGTGGACGTTTATTGTCTTGGCCTACATTATTTATGCTTGAATCATCGATGGTATTATGAACTTGCGAGCTTCTCGCAGGTCGGGAAATAATATTGGCGTTGATGTGGTAAGGACTCGGCGCATCGTATATGGCAGCATCGGTGCCTGAAAAGCCAGCTTGCTTCAGGACTGCGTCCCATTTTTCTGGCGTCAGATAAGGCTCTGTGTATCTGCCTTCTCCAGCTCCAAGCCACCATCCTGGCAAGATGCCCATGATACTAGATTTGGAACACGTCGTTAGTAATACTAATTATACTAATTGTATGAAAAAGAGCGCATGATGCTGGAAATGCCACCACAAGGCCTTTTCTGGAGTTCTTTGCGAGTGATGAACTTACAAGTTAACCATTTGCATCTTTGGGGATAATTCCTGAAGGAAAAGGTAGCCCTCAGGAGCAAGCAGTTTGCGCACATTTGCCAGTGTCTCACTCAGCGATGGAGTGGCGTGAAGAACATTGCCGGCGATGATCAAATCGAACGATGCCGCCTCGAATCCTTGCTCGACGGGGTCCTTGGTGATATCGAGAACCCGGAAATCCAGAGCGGGATAGGCCTTGAACCGTTCACGGGCATTGACGAAAAATCCAGCAGAAATATCGGTATAAGCATAGGTAGAGTAGAGTCGATCGACTCCGTTTTTACTCATTAAACCCTCAAGGATAACCTGAGTGCTACCCCCTGTACCAGCGCCAATCTCAAGGACACGAAGCGTCGGTCGTGTATGGCCAGCAGCGACGAAGAAATCCACGGAATCAGTGCGTGACTCTACGTAGTTGTAATAATCCGTTAGACCATTGTCTGCTTGTAGCACTTCAATGCCGTCAATAGAGCCTCGCAAGAGATCTTCGCAACGGTCAATGATACGGCCAATCAGAACTGCCGCACTAGCGGCTCCTGATTTCATGATCTCCTGTCGCAATTCGACCAGAAGTGAGAGCCGAGCACTAGGCTCCAAAGATATGATCTTCCGGGCTTCAGGTTGAAGTTTAGAGTGGTCTTTAATCAGCCGGGCTGCCTGGTCATGGATCCATTTGCGGAACATGCCCATGTGTTCAAGATGTGGGGGTGAAGGAATGCTTTCCATGCGCTCTTTGACAACAAAGATGGAGAGAAGAGTTAACTTTTCCACAAGATCGAGGTCGTGATTGTCGTTTATCAAAGCTGGGTTTGGTCGAATCAGGCTCTCCATATCGGCAAGATCAAGATGTGACTTCCAAGTGAGTTGGGCTGCTGCGATGGATTCAGAATTGCTGTCATTTGGTTCAGTAGATTCAATAGGAGAGAACTTTCCACCCTCTAGTTGCAGCAAAACAGCTCCATTTTTCTTGGAAAATACCTTGGCGTTTCCGGAGATTGTTCCCCCCGAGGTTAATGAGGATGATGCTTCGATCTGGGACCCCTCAACCTCCGTTGCCTTGCCGTCTGCTAAATATAGATTACCGATGACTGTTGGCACACATAGCTTTTCAGCACGGTAGAAGATACCTTCGCAACTAGCAGGAAAGAACAATTGGAGGCAATGATCAATCGTAGCGGGGTGGATCGCATACGACGATTCTGAGATGGCCATCTTGCTCAATGTAGCCATGGCTCTCTTGCCGTTTGGCTGACATTTAACATCTTCGAGTCCACGGAAGCAGGGTCCATATCTTAGTCCAAGCCTATGAAGCTGGGGATATAAGTCGTTTACAGTGCGGGGATAGGCTTCATTATTAATTGTTGACAAGTGCTGGGATGTTGCTTCCTTAAACTGATCCGCGTCGCGATTCGTTCTGACCTGGCCATCACAATGCTTCATCCAGTTTGAGCCATTGTGTGACATGATGCTAAACTCCCACCAATTTGAGTCAAGCGTATTGGTAAGTCGTACAGGTTGCAGGGTTGTCAACAATTCGATTGGCTTGGAATCGGTCATCACCAATGCAGACCGTACGATGACATTCTTTAGGATAAATCCGTCGACTTCAGTACTCTCAGTCGCTTGGCGAACGGCCTCAACAGCCATGGAAAGGTAACCTGCACAGGGAAAAATCACGTCGTTGAGGACCTGGTGATCGCGTAGCCAGGGTACCGCTTCAAGTCTTAGGACATTTCGCCATGCAGGCTGAAACTTGCTACTCTCAAGAGTCTTCGAGCCTAGAAGCTCATGCTGAGGGTACTTGCGGAACCTCCACTCTTTACTTATGCGGCTCTCGGCCCAAAATTCTTTCTCGTGGTTCCATGGATACAGTGGTAGGTCCGTCACCACATTCCCCATAGGCGAGATACGGGACAAGTTCATAGGTACACCTTGGACGAATAACTCTCCAGCAAGTTTGAGTACTGATTCAGCGGAGTCTTTTCCACGGGTCAATGCCGTTGCGTATGCTTGCTGGCCAGTGCCGTGAGCCTTAAATATCTGACGGAGAGGACCCGCTAGAGCGCTGTGTGGACCGATTTCGATGAAAACGCTCCTAGAAGATGATGACTGAGTTTTGAGAAGAAGGCTCACCGCGTCGGTAAAGAGCACCGGGTTTTCTAGATTCTCGCGCCAGTATGCAGCATTGAGAGATCCAGGTTCTTGAAGCTGTTTACTCTTCACACTGGAAAAGAATGGGATCACAGGAACCTTGCTGTGTAGCTTGCCCTTCAACAGACTTTCGAAACTATCTCCTAGGTCGTGCATGTGATCTGTAAAGAACTCGCTGTTAGATATATGTGCATTGCTAATCCACCAGCGAGAGAAAAGCACATGGGAGACTGAAATGAGGACTAATGACTTACGGGAATGATATGCTACTGGAACCTTCAAAAGGCGCACCAAAGCATCTGGCTCCTTCTCTTTTATCACTCTGCATACGTCTTGGAGAACGTCTTTGTCTCCAGAGATCGTGATACTCTGTGGACTGTTGTCGCATGCGACAACCACCCCATCAGCTAGATATGGAATGACTTGCTGCGCTCCCAAACCAACTGCGGCCATCCCTCCGGATTTTTTAATGCCTTTGTTCACGTATCCGCGGTAATATGCAATAGTGATGGCCTCGGCGGAAGTAATGGCACCTGCAGCATATGCAGCCGCGATCTCACCGCTAGAATGGCCGACAACAGCGGTCGGCAGAAGGCACCAGTCTCGCAACAGGTCAACTAAAGCTAATTGAACAGCACAGACAAGCGGCTGTGAGAATTCAGCTTCGCCTATTCTGCTGGTAGCCTCTGGCTTTCTCAGCTCCTCTGTAAGATCCCAAGTTGGACTATGCTCGAGCTGTGACAAAACACGACCTAAATAACTAATGGTATCGCGAAAGAGGGAATAGTCTTGTAGAAGCTCACTTGCCATCCCAGCCCACTGGGCTCCCTGGCCAGTGAAAACCATGTTCACATCCACTTTAGCGTTTGCTACCTTGGCTGGAGAAGAAAACTCAAGCGCTGGTTGACTTTCGCCTTCCAGTGAGATGGTAGAAACAACACTATACGCGCGATGAGACAAGTGCTCCCTCCGGTTGCAAAGCGTGTACGAAACGTCTAGCTGGTTCTTTTTGTTCTGTTGCTGGTATTTCTGGTGTTCAAGTACCCTCATCTTTAGAGAGGCAGGACTAGCCGCAGATATCGCATACAGTACTTTTCTTGGCGTATGCAATCCATGACCAGTGGTATCAGATGCACCAGCTTCCCTGTTTGATTTGAGGCCGTTAAAGTCGTCGCTTAAGAACTTGTTTGCCAAGCTGCATCGTAGCTCGGTGTGACCTTTCTTGATGTCTAATATTTTGGCTCCATGAACCCCATTTGTGAATCTAGTCCCGTTCGAGGCGTTGGTAGGCTTTCTATCATCGATCCTCGTAGTTTTTCTTATACCCAAATGTGGATCGCTGATACCTTTCTGAACTGGATTATCGCTGAGGAACTGGTCGATACTCTCTATAATGCAGTGTGCATTTGCACCTCCAATGCCGAAAGAGTTAACACTGGCACGAAGAGGTTGGTTTTCCGGCCAAGGGAGAACCTCGCAGGGAACTACCATGTTGGCTTCATTAAACGGGATCTTGGGATTCGGTATCGAAAAATTGATGTTGGGAGGAATTTTCCGATTCTCCAGGGCCAGTACCACTTTGAGAACAGAGGATATACCCGAGGCTCCCTCACTATGGCCAAGGTTTGGCTTGACGCTTCCCAAATAGAATGGTCGTTCTTTCCTGCCTCCGAATACACGTGAGATGGCGATTGCTTCCAGCGGATCGCCTACTGGAGTCCCCGTTCCATGAGCTTCAACAAAAACCGTATCTTTAGGGTTCAAGCCCGCTTCATGATATGCGTGCTGTATTAGAGTCATGTGGCTTTCCGAACTAGGCATAGACATTCCCGGGGTCTTGCCATCTGAGTTCGAAGATGTTGCTCGGACAACAGCACGAATGGGATCTCCATTCCTAAGTGCGCTACTCAAGCCTTTCAGAAAAATAGCATTGATAGCTTCGCCTCTAGCATATCCATTTGCATTGGCATCGAAACTTTTACAAGAGGCATCTGGAGATAGTACACCTTGCTCTGTCATGGCCATCGACATAGTCGGTGAGAAGATAAGATTCGTGCCAGCGACGATGGCTCCATCACAGTCTCCAGCCCGAATGGCTCGCACAGCTTCGTGAAGCGCAATCAATGATGATGAGCAGCCGGCTTTTATGGTGTACGATGGGCCTTTGAGATTGTATTCATAGCTAATGCGATTGGAAATCGCAAAGTCGTGACTACCGGATACTCGATATGTGCCCGCGTCAAACAAGTCTTTAGCATGAAGGTCGAGCCAGTCCTGTAATTCATCCAAAAGTTAGACCCTAAACTAGCAAGGGTAGATATATAGAGTGCTGAACAAAAATGGCAACTTACTTCTCCCCAAACCCCAACGTAACATCCAATATTGCTACCCTGCCAGTTGACCTGACCCGATGATTCCATACACTCGTAGACGACTTCGAGCAACATTCGCTGTTGCGGATCAATATCTTTCACTTCGGTAATTCCCATAGAAAAGAGCGATGTATCAAGATGATGAAGATCGTCAGAATCATCCAAGAAGTGTCCATGTCGCATAGCTACTGAACCCGGTTTGGCTGATGGACTATGAAATCCGTCTACCGAGAATCTTGAAGCTGGAATTTCGCACCGTGTTGAGCGTTTCTGAACTAGGGTCTTCCATAGTTGTTCGGCAGTATGAATGGCCCCAGGCAATCTCATGCCCAGACCGACGATAGCTACCGGTGGAACCTGGCTCTGACAATTGTCGTCCGTGTCGATTATCTCATTGCTCACTGTGTTCTCAGCTGATTCACTTTCGTTGAGAGTGGCGATAATGGCCATGTTGTGTAGATATTCCAAGAAGTATCGGTTAGTCGTTTCTGTGGATCTGTGATCTGAGAGGTATGAGAGCTGACGTATTAAAAGAGTAGTATATCGTGCAACTGCTTCAGTCAAGAAATCGAGACGAGAAGAAATGCATCTGAGGCTTAGCAACGAATCTCACTCTTATGCAAATTCTTTCTCTAGCCGTTGATGGCACTAATTAATACTTCAACCGCAAAATCTAAACATGTTCGTAATTTCTCGGGTTAATACCATAGGAGAGATGTACTAGTCTAAAATCTGCAAGCTGCCAACACCTATCCGAAAACGAAAAGAGATCAATTGGTATATCTTCTAAGTATCACGGATACTGTTTCGGAACACGCTGATAGCTTTTGCTGTTGATTCCTCCATACCTATGCACTTCGGTTACTGTTTGTTTCTGAGGCAAGCTGCAACTTCCCTGTTCGTAGATCTCTGTCACATACATAGACGCTTAACCGGCTATTGCAGATTTTCAAGATCTGCTAGCGTATAAGAAGATGTACCGGGAAAAGGTCGGTCCTAATGTTTAGGACTTGTGCTGATTCCGTCATTCGCCAAGCATTGCGGCTACCGAAAACAGCTGTTCCGAGGTACATCCGCGTTATCGGCTCTAGACTAACCGAAATTATCCATGGGAGCAGGAACCCCAATAGCGACGAGGTCGATTGCAGACATGTATCGGGGTACTAGTGAGCGCGTCTGGTCGTGAGTATTCAAGTATCGATACACTACATCCTTGTCACACATTACGTAATCGGACTATACTACCAATATCACGCTACGCGCCCATTCTGAATACAATGACATCTATTGAAGAGATAAGGAGGATCCGGGGTGATGTTCTCGGCATTGATTCTTATAAAATCGGCTTGGATGAGAATTCTATAGACTGTATGGGTTTCACTGTATTTGAGCAGTGATAAAAACCTGCTAACCTGTGTGTTATTCTAGTGGGAGGTAATTGCGTAAGAATGACTGTACATTAAACAATAAAAAAGCTTATTGACTCAGGTGAAAGACCTACAGCTCCTTGGCGAAATAGCATCCCACAATGTCGGAGTTAATCTAGAAACCTTCATAAACAGTAAGCTACTACAATTCTGCACGCGCTATCATCTACACCCTTCATAAAAACTCCAAGGAGCTGATATTGATTTATTGCAAAAAAGCTGGGACTATTCAGAATCTCTGGAATGCTTTACATACCCAGACTGGAAATGTACATAGCACGAATGGACACGTCTACAACGGAAATAAAGAATGGAACGTATAACAAGCATATTCTTCTGGCACAAACACCAAAGTCGAGATAGAATACAATGATTCAGCCTTAAAGCAAGTAAACCTTGTTCAAGACAGGTTCCTCTCTATGACTCCAGTCAGTCCAGTACAAGGTAGTAAATCTCTGACATCACTAACGTACTATGCAATCCCCATTATTCGCTTGAGCGATCCAATTATACAAAAAATATATTCTGATTGACAGTAAACTAGGTTTTTTCTTAGACCTAGGCCTGGCTGGGTACATTGGTCTCATCAACTACATCTTCGAAGTGGAGGGTTCGGATCTGAAACATGGCTTGACAACCCTCGTAAATCTTCTAGAATCTAAAAACCCCATCTTTTGTACGGTTATTGGGGCTATGAAAGATGGGAGTTTCGCACAAACCTTGACGGCGAAGAGTACGTCATCATAGTTTTTTTCCTCCGACCTTGGGCACCTACTTAGAAAAAACCATGACCCAGAAGTTTGAGTTGGCAAAGCCAGCTGTACAACACGCTTTAATCGTCGGGGACCCCGCCCATGAAGGAAGCAGCTTCTTCGTTATCTCATTACAGCACACTCACTGCGATGCATTCTCCCGATTTCTCATCAGCAAGGAGATATCACAGATTCTGGAGTCGCCATCATGTTACGCACAAAATGGAACCCCTGAACGCCCTTGGTTTGCCGATTACGTAAAGGATGTCCAGCTAAAAGCCACCAACGATTATGTCACCTTATTTTCGAATACTTACCTGCGCGGCGCAAACTTATCCAACACCCATCCTCCTGATAAAGCAACGATCAGTGGCGAGTTGAATGGTGCTACCATCGAAAGAATGCAAGTATCTGTCACCCCGAGCATTGCGATCAGTTACTCAAGAAATCCAAGGCAAATCATTCTTGCAGCATGGGCTATGGCTTTAGCAAAACTATTGGGGCTTCGAGATATCACGTTTGGACTCTGCCATCATGGCAGATCATCTGGCTCTTTCACGAATGTGCTACGTGTAATGGGCCCTTTGGTAAATGCGTTCCCTTCCCACGTTTCTCTTACCTCCAACAAAGAATCAGTTCCTGAACTGCTGCAAAGGATCCAGATCGATATCACAACCACAAAAAAATGGGAACATGGATTCTCTCCGAGCACTTTCCCAAGTGCTGACGGAAATCCATGAGTACAGTCGCTTGTTGACTTGAAGTCAGAGCTCCATGGAATGAGGAATGGTCTTTTAGCAAAAGATGATCAATCGAGTTTCCAGAACCTCAAGTGTGTGGCTGGGTTGTGCTGGACAAAAGAGTGTATTCGGTTGACCGTCTTTGTGCTTACGTAGTACACTTTACAGTCGAGCCAGAAATATCTACCAAGCCTTTACCTATTCAAGCTATTCGAGCCTGGAACTGCACTGCGTTCTCGATAGCCGTATCCCATTTTCTATAGCCGCACCACTAACCATTTTCAGATAGCCGTGGGTCTGTTCATGTAATCTACCGTAATGTCAGATAACTGACTTGAGAAGGATTCTTCGTCATATGGAGGGGTAACTACCTATTATTGAAGCATTCATAATTAGTGTGCTGGCTTGGATGGTGTCTTGAATAAAAACAACCGGTATAGTGGGAGCATCGTTACTCTACTATCATCTATCCCCTTATTTTTGTGTATTGCTACCCGCTTGCGTTCTACTGAGAGATACAGTATGCAAGGGTACCAAGAGCACCATTCTCATCCTGCATATCTGCGGAAACGAAAACCCCACATATCTAATAGCCTACCTTTTTACAAAGCTTGTGCTTATTACGCGGATGTATTTGGGTCATTGCGCACCTACGTTGTCGTCTACAAGTCGATTAGTGCAACTCCGGCCATTAAACTCTCCAATTTGATTTAGGCTCTACCAAGATCGCTGGGATCCGATACGGCATCACATCTCATTTACCTTGGGAAGATGTGTTCGAATTGACGGAAGCTATACAAGCTGCGGACGCAGATCTTATTATTACTTTAGGTAGTTTTATAACAGACGCCGTCAAGCTCGCAAGGCTCTTCGTTCCAAATAACGTGTCAACATTGTCGGGCGCAGATAAATTATTCGCAAAGATAAGGGCGGGAGAGTTTGTGGAGCCCGCGACGATCCCCGTCATTAATGTAACAACAACGCTTTCTAGGAGTGAATTCACATGTGCTGGCGGTGCGACAGATTCAAAAAGCGGTCATAAGCTGGTAACGATGTATAAGTCCATGTATGCAGACGTTGTTATTCTTGACCCGAGCTTATCAGGTGGTACTCCACGGAAAGTGTGGCTATCCACTGGAGTCCGAGCCATCGATCATTTTATTGAAGGCCTTTATGGTAACGCAGCTGCACTTTTTATCAACATGCACGAGAAGCTCGGCATCGAAGTCGACAAAGATATCGAGAACGTCATTATTAGAGCCCTCGGAAATCTGCTGACAAGCTTGTTGTCAACCAAGCACAACTGTGACGATGAAAATGCGAGATTAAGGGCCTTTATGTCTGTACAGGAGTGTCACCGGGCAGGGTTTAAAGGAATAGGCGCAAGTCATGGTATTGGTCATCAGCTTAGTCCTTTAGGAGTTGGCCATGGCGAAACAAGTTTTATCATTCTACCTTGAGTTTTGCGAACAACTGGGACCATGGCAGCGAGACTCTTCGCCGTCGACTTGAACTGGCGACTGCCATATCCTAGGAGCAGAAGAACGTGGCGGAATCTCTTCGTTCTGCTGTTCTTATTAGTCAAGAAGTGGACCTCTGCGATGTAGTGGGAACTCACATCAATTGTCTTGGTCTACCAAGAACTCTGGGAGAGTTCAGTATTAAGTATGAACATCTTGAGAAGCTAGCTGAAAGTGCTATGAAGATTGGTGCACTAAAATCAACCCTGTCCCATTGAACAAAGACAGTGTATTAGAGATACTGCATAGTGCAGCGTAAAACAAAGGACAATTGTACCTCATGTTATTCAAGGGGAAAGAGAGACGTTGCAATTTCGCACGAGTCTCCTAGGAGCGGGAAGATAGGTCGGAGCACGCGCTTTAACACTCACCCCACCTATAGAAAATCGAGGTTTTACAACAACATGTATCTATCGTCACGAATGCGATATAAAGAAACTATTCTTTGGAATAATTGATAACGTATTCCACTACCTAGAAGACCACTTTTTCTTAACATCGCGAACTTCATATTCGAAAACTTAAATTATTCTACACTGGCTATAGCTACTTCGTATAACTTACTTATATCTAAAAGAGAATCTTCTTGTATATCTTTTCAGTACGTACGAGAGTTATAGCCTATCCTCCTATAGGTTCTAAAGCGCCGTTAACTTAGTAGAGCCCTTTCTTAACTACTCTCACTACGTGCCTTCTTTAATATTCTACGACTAGTAGAACTACTTTTAGCTACGTAAAATTCCTCTGTAATAAGGTCTAGTGTCTTACCTATCTAAATTCGATTTCTTTTACGCACCTAGCGCTTTATTGTCACTACTAATTATTCTTTAAGCTCTCGTATATGGGCCTTAACAAGCATGTTCTTATATAGTATCTTCTTAGCCTCTTTAATAAACTTTAAAAAGCCTTCTTATATACTAGTTAGTAATTAGATAATGAAGTGTCTTACAAGCTTTAACTATAACCTAAATTTATATAAATTACTAGGTATTTTAGATTACTAGACACACACCAACTTTTAAGTAGAAATCTTTCATCGAAATACGTCAATTTTCTATCGGATATAGGTGTAACACGTCGCAAGAAATCGATTTACGCCACCTCTAACGTGTGCAGCTCTCTTATTAAGCTGCTAGAGGGGGTATCGTCGATTTTCTTGCGACGTGTTCAATATGCGTAAATCTTTAAAAACATACAGTCTACTCTAATAACTAATAGAGAGACTACTACACGAAAATAAAAATAATTAAAAACAATAAAAGAAACAAAAACTACCTAAACGCTAATATAGCCGTTGCTCGCTAGGCACCATGTCTAAACGCTAAGACAGCCTTTGCCCGCTATAACACTATACTAGCAAAAATAACTAAACGCTAAGGTAGCCTCTGCCTGCTATAATAGCACCCTATCCGAACGCTAAGACAACCGTGGCGCGCTATGCACTATATCTAAACGAGAGAGTTACTTATTAAAACTAGAGAGTGTAACGATGTTACAACTTCGCCATGTATCGGACCAATCCCAGAGCCGGATCGGAGGTAGTACTCGCCGCCCTCTTCATCAACCACTCGTTGTGAGGTCGGATCCGATTCGGATCCGACTAAGATAAGTATATAAGGAGACACTCCCTGTAGCTAGCTCTGTAGACTTTTGATATCCTTTCGTACAAGGCCTATAGGTGTCTATTCGAATTAAGGCTCGTTTGATGTCCCACGCACTCCCATATGCCTCTGAGTGACACTACCGCCGATACTGATCCGAGTAGTCTTGCCTGCGCCGTTACAGTAGCGTACTAAGTTTTATACGCATTAAGGGTACTGTAATGAGAGGGCCGGACCCGGCCTAGCGCGCAGCTACTCACGCCGCCCATGTGACCAAAAGGTTTGCACAAGATAACAAGCTTGTCTTGTTATCTTGATAGCTGGATATATATACTCGGTATTGGCACGCGCACGTATCGCAGCGCCGCTCAAAGGGCGTAGCCCATTACAGATACTTCTACTTAAGAGGTAATAAGTAGATAACGTTAAGTAACTAGAGAATATATAATACTTAAATAAGCAGGTATATAGAGAGTAAAGATTCTTCGCATAAGGTAGTAGTTCTTAAATTCTTAGTTAAGATAGCTTATATAGCTATTAAGGATAAGTAGCCTATAAAATTCTATCTAACGCATCTTTGTATACTTATTAAAGTACTTTAACTACGCTAAAATAAGCCTATAATTCGTCTAGCTATTCTCTAATACTTAGGGATTCTAATTATATAGTATATCTACTTCTTTATACTAAATAGAGATATAGAAGTATCTCTTATAGATAACAAATAGTAAAGTAGTGTATTCTACAGTATAAATACTCTGAATAACTACATAAAATCTACTTATAATTATCTAGCTAAATAAGAATAGGTCTTATATAACGCTCTACGCCTCTAACTATCTTTATTAAGCTGGTTAAATCTGTCTAATAGCTAGTTTTATTAGAGTTATGGATATTATTAAAATAAACTCTATACTTCTTAATAGTCCTTAATATAAGCTTTGCAACAACATACACAACTGCAGACAACTTCGAGTTTTCTAGAATAGGTGTAATTTTAGTCAAATATATATAAACCCCTCGCGAGAAATCGATTACAATCACCTTTAAAGCGTGCACGCCACGCGCTGTGGAGCTATAGGCTGTTAAAGTGATCACTTTAGACACGTCTTATTTTTCACCGAAAAACACACAGACCAGGTGGATTAGTAATCAAAATGCCACCCGATAGTGATACTATCGACGTACACGTGCCAGGCACCCAGGCGAGAGCAGAAATCGAAGCTCAGATCCAGAATGAGATAGATATGGAAACCACGGAACCAGCGACGCCTACGCAGACTACTATACCTAGCGTAGTTGAAATACCAATCCTCCCACCAAACTAAACGGCAGGCAAACTTCTCGCCAGAAATACGCACTAGGAGCAACTTCTCACCATTTAGAGGAGCTACGCTTAGATTCAGTACTC